TCAGTCCACATCAGTCCACATCAGTTTACATCAGTTTACATCAGTCCACATCAGTTCACATCAGTCCATCAGTACATCAGTCCACATCAGGTGAGTGTTTGTCAGCAGATAAGAGGAATGTGTCTAACGCTGTGATCTCACTGTATGATGTCATCATATGATGTCATGGTTTGGTCCAGGTAATGGAGCACTGCATCAGACAGAACAATGCTGTGGACATCTACCAGGAGTACCTGGAGGAGGAGGAGGAGGTGGGGGGAAGTCAGGAGCCGCCATCCGCCAAGACCATCAATGTTTTTAGGTGCAGCTGTCAACAAATTGATGGACAGACGGTGACTGATTGATCGCTGACGTTGTTTTGTTCATTGTCCTCACTGTCCTTTGTGTCTCCAGAGATCCTAATGAGGTGAAACGTACCATCACTGGTCTGTCTTGGCATCCAGACAGCGGCAGAAAGCTGGCGGCTGCCTATTCCTGCCTCGAGTTCCAGAAAACCTCCAAAGACATGAGCCTGGACTCCTACATCTGGGACATTGGTGGGTCAGAAAGCAGCTGACTTTAATAGCACCACAGATTCCAGTCTGTTCACAGATGGACGTTGTATGTTTCAGAGAATCCAAACAGACCAGAGATGACACTCAAGCCAACATCGCCCCTCATCTGTCTGGACTATAATCCCAAAGATTCACACACTCTGCTGGGCGGCAGCTTCAATGGGCAGATCGGTACGTTCAGGTCCAGACTGACAGATGGAGATTTTCTGTCTGTGGTTTATAAAGACGTGACTGTGTTTGTTTTAGTGTACTGGGACACCCGGAGAGGTGGCCAGCCGGTGGAGTTTTCCTCTGTGGAGCAGAGTCACAGGGACCCAGTCTATAAAATCGTCTGGCTGCAGTCCAAGACCGGAACTGACGCATTCTCTGCCTCCACGGATGGACAGGTCGACTGATGAGTGTTTGAATTAGCATATCAGGCTGAAGAGGCCTACATAGGACCAGGGAACTAATTTTAAAAAAAACTTTGACCAACAAGTCTCTACTATTGACTCTCTCCATCAGGTTCTGTGGTGGGATGTTCGCAAGTTGAGCGAGCCAACAGAGCGTCTGGTTCTGGACCTCGGCAGGGAAGGGAACCTAAATCGGGCTTTAGGAGCCATCTCACTGGAGTTTGAAGCCACCATGGTGAGTTTCTGTTATTCCACCCAGCATGGAGCCCAAGATGCAACAAGGTCCCCATGTCCTTTAGCACTGTTGCTTCACAGCAAGAAGGTTCTTGGTTCAAGTCCTGGTTCGGCCTGAATCCTTCTGTGTGGAGTTTCTCCCAAAGTCCAAAGACATAGAGAACAGGGTTCGGTGAGAACATGAGAGTGAATGGTTGTGAGGCCCCGGCAGTTTAATCTCAGACCCTGTGTCTCTGTCCTCGATGTCTCTGCAGCCGACTAAGTTCATGGTGGGGACAGAGCAGGGCGTTGTCGTCTCCTGTAACAGGAAGGCAAAGACACCGGCTGAGAAAATTGTTTGTACGTACGATGGTCACCACGGACCCATCTATGCCCTCCAGAGGAATCCTTTCTTTCCCAAAAACTTCCTCACCGTGGGGGACTGGACGGCCCGAATCTGGTCTGAGGACATCAAGGAATCATCAATCATGTGGACCAAGTAGGGCTCAGACGCTCCACTTTACATCCTGCTCAGTTTGGGACAAACCTAGCCCAGATTTTAACATCAGTTTTTTTTCCTCAGATATCAGATGTCATTCCTGACAGACGCCTGCTGGAGTCCAGTCAGACCCTCTGTCTTCTTCACAGTAAAGATGGACGGTGTCTTGGATGTCTGGGACATCCTATTCAAACAGAACGACCCCACGCTCAGTCTCAAGGTGCTCTTATCTCCCCCATAAAGAAGTAAATGTCATTGTTGTGTGATGTTAATGTTGTTGATGTTGTCGCTCTTGTTGTCCGTGGTCATCCTCAGGTGTGTGACCAGGCTCTGAACAGCCTTTGCATTCAGGATAACGGGCGTTTGGTAGCGTGTGGTTCTCAGCATGGTGAGGCCACGCTGCTGGAAATCTGCTCTGGACTGTCGACGCTCCAGAAGAATGAGAAGAATCTGCTGGCTGCTGTGAGAAACACTGAAACCCTGCAGAGACATGTTTCATTCCCTCATCTTAGCTTTTGTCCAGGCTGAAGATGTTCAGAAACCTGATGTCAGTGTTGTCGTGTATAGAGGGAACACTGAGGTTCTGGCCTGTGGTGTCACAGTGTGCTCCTACGTGAGGCTCTTTAGTGGCGTTCCCCAGGGGTCAGTTTTAGGTCCAATTTTATTTTCCTTATAAGATAAGATCAAATTTTATTGTTATTATATGTTATTATTATATATTACACGTGCTCCCCCTGGGTCACATCATAAATAAGCATAGTGGTTCATTCCATTTTTATGCAGATGACACACAGTTGTGTCTGTTAGACCAAACTGAGATGGTTTTCATTGGACCTGAGTACATGAAAAAACAAACACTGCCACCTGCTGGTCTGTTATTGGATCACATGAAACCTGTTGCAAAAAACCTTGTGTGTTTCGCAGCAGTTTAACGTTTGAGCAGCACAGCAAAGCTAAAAGAACATTTTCTAAAAGTCACAACATTTAACTGTAAAGACGATTTGACATTTTATTTCATCACACCTCGACCTAACCCCCAAATCTATTGATGGACTCCAGACTGTTCTAGTGTCTTTACACTGGCTCCCTGTATGTTTGAGTATTTATAGAAAGATTTCACTGATTTTAAATTTAAAGCTCTCTGTGGCTTTTCTCCAAGCAAACCTGTGAAGAAGAATCAAGCTGAAATATCTCAGGCATCACGGTGTTTCTTTATTTCCAGATGTTTGAGCGCGAGACAAAGCGAGAGAAGATTCTGGAGGCTCGACAGAGAGAGATTCGTCTGAAGGAGAGGAGTCGATCAGAGCAGAGCAAAGAGGAGGAAGGAGGTCAGGAGGAGGGAGAGGAGAGTCCTGATCAGCTGATCCTCAGAGCCGAGAATGACTTTTCCAGCATGGTGGAGATGGAGCAGAGGAGGAGGAGGGAGAGGGAGCAGGAATCAAACCAGGTGCTTTTTATTCATCTCCTCCTTTGCTCATGTCTTTCCTTTGTCCTCCTTTGTCCTCTATTTCCAGTTGAAGGACTGTAGACACTTTAGGTTAAGACTAATCCACCAAAAAAACCAAAACACAGATAACATATAAAACATTCAAAACATATTTTCACACCATCAGGAACATTCTACTCATGTGGAGCAACAAACCTCCTTTACTTTTATGATTTCAAATTCTAAAAGTGAAATTTTAAAATTCAGCCTCAGAACCATCAGGTGCAGTTGGTTTGTGGAACATGAACTCCTCAGGTTGTCAGATATTAAACAGTGAACTGACGATTAAATATATGAAGGATTCTGTGTTTCAGGAGAAAGACGTCTGTGAAGAACAAGAAGTGAACGACGAACAGAAACTTGATATAAACATGAAGTGAATGATGACTTGAAAGGTTTCACCTCTTTGAAATATTCAGAGACTGAATTTTGTTTGATCCAACGAGGAAACGTTTCACGGGAAAAGATTTCCAGAAGACACGAGGACGAGATCAAAGAGATGAAACCAACAGTGTTGTGATCTCACGCCCTCGGGATTAGAGGGAGTTTGTTCCCGTGGCTATGGTAACGTCTGATAACAGGTAGCGTTTCAGTTTGTAATCTCAGAATTTATTCTACAGACTTTTTGTTTCCTGAGAAATGTTCAGGTCTTTGTTCTACGTCCTGTGATCAAATTATGATTTCTAATAAAAAACGTTTCTCACAGTTGGACTGAAACTTTTCTTCTAATCTGAGTTGTTTTGAAGTTTTACTTTTACCTACTCCGCCCCCTGCTGGAGACACGTTCCCACTGACGCATGAGATGACGTAGAAAGTACGCAGCGTCAACGTCATCAGGCACAGACCCGAGGTTGGGGGTTCCCGGAAGTGTCTTCGTATTGTTTACATTCGTGTCTTTGTTCCGACAAAATGTCAAAGAAACGGTCGAAAAGCTCCGAGAGCCGGAGCCTGAGGACCGTGATCGAGCAGCAGCTCGCGGCGGCCGTGGATCACATCCTCCGCCTGCTGAAGGAGCGAGGACCCGCCGACCCGGAGCGGCTGAAGCAGCTGGTGGCGGAGCGGATCACCGCGGCCGTGGCGGAGATCTACACCGCGTTCAGAGCCTCCAGGGCCGGCAGAGAACCACAGGGACCAGGGGTCAGTTCGGAACCGGGACCCGCAGCAGACTGGACAGGTTCGAGTCCGGAGACAGACACAGGACCCACAGGGTCCATTCAAAATGTATAAAGATGATCAGTGACTGTATATAAAGACAGGAATCAGGAATATAATCAGCTGATCAAGGAATGTATTGATATTTACAGTAATTTTAACATCCTCAGATGTGATTGAACTGATTTCAGCGTTTTCTCTGCAGAGTTGTGTTTATCGCTCGGTGTCCAGAGTCTCTCTGATGAAAAACAAGGACTGAAGGAGCCTCAGCCCAGCACATCGTCAAGACCAGAGACTGTCTCTGAACCTGAACACCCACCAGTGTCTCCAGAGGACCTGGCTGGTGAAGAGGAGGAGGAGGATGAAGAGGCGACGTGTCACTGCTGCAGAGTGTGTGGAAAGGCCTTCGATAGGAAAGGCTTTTTGATGAAACATGTGGAGAAACACTCAAAGGAGTCTGAATGTCTCTGCGGTCTCTGCGGAGAACTTTTGGACTCCAGTGGCGGTCTAAAGCTTCACCTTCAAACTCACCGCGATAGCAGCCGGACCTGCAACGTCTGCGGAAAGAAGTTCCCATCGATCCGAGCGCAGGAGACACATCTGAGGCTGCACACAGGAGAGAAACCATTCAGCTGCCACATCTGTGGAAAAGGCTTCAACCAGAAGGGCAACATGGTGACGCACATGAGGATCCACACGGCAGAGAAGCCATTCAGGTGCACTGTGTGCCGTAAAGAGTTCAGCCATGCCGCCTCTCTAGAACGACACATGAAGGCCCATGACGGAGAGATGCCATTCAGCTGCAATATTTGCAGGAAAGCATTTGATAAGAGCGCTGAGTTGAGGCGACACATTCGGAGCCATAAGTCCAATGAAAAGTCTGCCGTGAGGAGCAGACGCAGGAAACCGAGTCTGACTCCCTCCCATTGCTGCAAAGTCTGTGGGAACGCCTTTCACAATAAAGGTAACTTTGTGCGGCATGCTGAGACTCATTTAAACAGTCCTGAATATCGCTGCGGGGTCTGTGGAGAGCAGTCGGAGTCTTCAGAGAGTCTGCAGATCCACATCCAGAGCCACCGAGAAACCAGAAGGATCTGCGACATCTGCGGCATCAGCTTCAGGGACATGGAGATCCACATGAGGACGCACACTGGGCAAAAACCCTTCCAGTGCAAAGACTGTGGGAAGGACTTTCCCAGGAAAGGTTCTCTGGAGCGACACATGAAGTTGCACGCCGGTGAGAGGCCTTTCATTTGCGAGTTCTGTGGGAAGACATTCATTGAAAACACAGTTTTGAAGAGACACATCAAGAGCCACACAGGCGGGAAGCCAAGGATTTACTCCTGCGACGTCTGCGGCAAGAAGTTCACTATGAGCCAGCATCTAGATGTGCACAAGAGGATCCACACCGGGGAGAAACCATATACCTGTAGGGTCTGCGGAAAGAACTTCCGTCAGATTGGCAACCTGGACTCCCACATGAGGATTCATACGGGTGAAAAGCCGTTCATCTGCAGCCTCTGTGGGAAGAGGTTTCGCCAGAAGATCTCACTGGAGACGCACGAGAGGTTCCACAAGAAGGAGAAACTATTCAGCTGTCAGGTCTGCAGCAAAGGCTTCGTCCAGAAGATTGACCTGAAGAGACACATGCTGACACATACTGGGGAGAAACCCTACAGCTGCAGAGTCTGCGGGAAGAGCTACCAGGAGAAGCGCTCTGTCGACACACACATGAAGGTTCACACTGGAGAACGAGCCGCCAAAGATTCACCTGTGACACAGAGCCTGAAACGACAGGAAGTAGTTCATGCCGAATTTATCCAGCTCTGATGAGCCTGAAGGCAACACCAGTTTTATCACAACAGTCATTGGGAGCGGCTGCGGCTCAGGGGTGTGAGTGGGCATCCCCTAACCAGGGGATTATTGATAATAATATCTTGGCGGTTCGATTGTTCCCATTCCGCAAAGTGTGGGCAAGACACTGAACCCCACATTGCGGGAGTGCTGCACATAAATACAATGTGAATGTAAAACTGTTCTGTAAAGTGCTCCGAGTGGAAAATACACACTCATCTATGAACATCTTCTTCCACTAAGTTGGTCTCACAAGCAGCTGAATTAACATTTTCTGAAGACCAGGTACTTTTGTTTCCTGGTCTGTTCCACTAACAAGAACCAGGGAACGGAATCATGGTGCGCGGTCGTTGGAGGCTGCAGTTTAGAACATGTCACTGGAAAGACCTCAGCCTGATCCTGATCATGTGGACGGAGACGCTTTTGAGCTCAATGGTTTTCATGGTTCCTCAGAATCTCCAGTTTAGTTCCTGTGGTTCTCTCAATCTAATTTCTACTGTGAGAACAAAATGGAACGGAACATGTCGCAGGTGTTTCCCGTGAGTTCCTGGAGTCTGCTTCATGAATCTGTGTTTATCTGTGGAACTGATGTTTGTTGGTCACAGGTTCGATCGTGAACTTTCCTCTCAGGCGGCGGCACTGACGCATGTAAAGCTTTAAGTAATCCTGAATCCAGAGTTTCACTGTAAATGTATTTTCACAGTCAGTGTGGATGGAAATGAAATGAAAGGTTTTTATTTTTGTAACATTTCCAGGTGAAGTTAAAGGTTCGACTGCAGATGAACTGATGAATATCGAGTTCCTTAGTAACAGAGTCAAAACACGTTCTCTGTCATCAGCTGACGGCTCCCAAAACCGAGGCCAAATCATCTTGATCGCCCCCTAGTGTCTGGCTGCAGTATCGGCCACAAATCCTCCTCCTCCATGTTAGCAGACGGGACATGAACCAAACAAAAAACGTAAAGTAAACATTAAATAAATGTTTTGAATCGGTTATTTGATGATAAAAGCTTGATTTTATATTTTTTTATTTTCCCATCTTCATACTTTCACTTGTAATGAAGTATTTGTACTATGTTCTGTTCATACTTTCACTTGTAACGAAGTATTTGTACTTTACTGTCGTGGTACTTTTACTTCAGTAAATGATTTGAATTCTTCTCCCACCACTGGTTAAGAATATTTTGTTGCTAATACTTTAGTACTTGTGTAACGTGTACTCTTGACAGAGTATTTCTACCGTGCAGTATGAGCACTGTGGTGTCCTCGTCGTCCTCCAGTCCAGCAGGGGTCGCTGTTGGCTCTGAGCTCGGTGTCTCTGTTTACCTGCCGCTGGCTCTCTTTGTTCGCTCCGAGACTCAAAGTGCGCAGAAAGGAGGAAAATGTGCGCCGTGCAGCTGCTGCGGGTGTCGGTACATGAGCGGATCAGCGCCGCCGCTGAAGACTTTCTGCTGCAGGTGGAGGAAGGAGAAGAAACGGCT